GGAGGGTTTCAGGACATTGGGCCTTGAGGTTACAGGGGGAAAGAGCCTTGAAGTGTTTGGGGATTTAGGGTTTAGGGTTCAGGGTTTAGGGTTTAGGGTTTAGGGTTCAGGGTTTAGGGTTTAGGGTTTCGGGGATCATGATGATAATGATTAGAACAGGGTTTTGGGGCCCACTGTACAATAACTATAATAAGGAACCCTTTCCAAATAGTATAGGAAATTATGAAGGCCCTATAGCACGTATGGGTTTAAGGCCGGAAAGGTCTGTGGTCCTTCGAACCAACATGTGTTCCAATTGGGCTCTCAAGACCCCCTGAGTCTTCTTCAGAGCAACCGCACTGTCGTGAGAGTTGGACGACCACTCAAGCGATAAATCCAGGTTCAGGGTTCAGGGGTTCAGCCTCTGAGCCCTGAACCCCAACCCTAGGGCTCTAAGGACTCACAGTTTAATGCCTTTGGGCCCAAAGACCCTACTATGAAAGGCTTTTGGGCTATTTTGAGCCTGAGGGTAAACCCTTACACGTCCAAACCAAAAGCCGGAAGACCTTTTGTGCTATGGGTCAAGCCCCCTTTAAACAACCCAGCCGTGCTTGCATAAACCCCAAGCCCCTGTAATGAAACCCTGAAGCCCAAAGTGCTAAAAGGTCCCTAAACCCTAAACCCTAAACCCTAAACCCTAAACCCTATAAACCCTAAACCCTAAACCCTAAACTTGCTTGCATAAACCCCAAACCTCTGTAAAAGCCCTAAGTGCTGAAGCCCTAACTTCCCTAACTTTAGAGTTTAAGGCTTTCAGGTTTCGGGTCATAGAGTTTAGGGTTGAGGGCCTAGGAACCATCAGTAAACCCCTAAACCCCTGAGCCCTAAACCGCAAAGCCCCTAAGCCTTAAACCGCAAACCCCTAAACCCCTAAGCCCTAAAGCCCTAAGCCCTAAACCCTAGAGCCGCGAAGCCCTAAGCCCTAAACCGCAAAGCCCTAAAGCCCTAAGCCCTAAACCATGCTAAACCCCTAAACCCCTTAGCCCTAAACCGCAAAGCCCCAAAGCCCCCCTAAACCCTAAACCCTGAACCATAAACCCTAAACCCTAAAGCCCGCCTTGACTCATGATGATAACAATGATAACTATAACTATAATAAGGACCCCCCCCCAAAAAAAAAAAAATTGTACAGGTAATTATTAAGGCCCCTATAGTACGTCTCTGTTTGCCCACCTTGACATAGGCCCCATAGTAATTCCTTTTTGGGATTACCTTATGGGATTCTAAATGAAATATGAACCCCAAAAAGGAACTACTATGGGGCCTATGGGTAAATTTACCCCTAAGCCCTAAATCATGACCCTAAACCCTAAACCCTAAACTCCAAACCCTAAACCGCAACGCCGTAAAGCCCGCCTTGAAGTTGATCACCTCCTTGGGCCCAGGGTCGGCTCCCTCGGGCGATTGCTTAGGGACGCTCAGCGCGTGGAGGGTTTACCTGAACCCTAGAAAACCTAGGGTTTAGGGTTTAGGGTTTAGGGTTTAGGGGATTAAAGTTTAGGGTTTAGGGTTTTAGGGTTTACCCTAACCCTCCAGGTGCCTAAAATATAGGGCCCTAGGGGCTCTAGTACCCTATATAGTAGGTACCTGGCGTGTTAGGGAAACCTGCTTTTTTTTGGGGGGCGCCTTGTTATGATTGCCATAGATAAGTCCTCACAGAGGTGGGTTATTTGGGTTAAGGTACTGCTCAAGGTTTTAGTGTTAGGGTTATAGGCTCAGGGAGATTTTTGGTTTCGGATTTTTGGTTCGGGGCTGGGTATTACGTCTCGGGTGATTAGGTGTGACTGCTAGGGTTGAGGATTTAGGGTTTAGGCCGTTGGGTTTAATTCTAAACTTTGAGGGTTTGGGGGTTTATGAATTGTAGGGTTTAGGGCCTAAAGGCCCAGGGGTGTACTACTGGCTGCGAGGTGAGGGTTGGGAGGGGTTCTTAGGCTTTTGTGTTGCGCAGGACCGATGTAGAAGTAGTGTAGACGGGGTTTTAGGTGTAGGTACTCTTGAATCAGCAAGGGTGCAATGCCCCTTTCGAGTCTAAGTGGTTCTCTTCAGGGCCTTAATAAGTAGAATTAAGGTTTGGTATATACTATAATGATAATAAGGAATCCCCCAGAATCCTATTCTAATTATTAAGTAATGGACGACAGCACGATGCACGGTGTGCAGGAAAAGGAATTTCAAGAGGTAACAGGAACAGGTGCTACCGTGCAACATGTTTCCTTGGGCTAGCCTGCTGCGAGTGAGTGAGATGGTTATGCAGTAGTCAGGATCCAGGAGCTGCTCTTGAAGCCAAACCTGTCTCAGGTCACAAAACACACACACACACACACACACAAAGCACAAGTAAAGCCCACAACCCCGAAGCCTAAACCGTAACCAGTATATAGGGGCCTTCAAGATTATGATTTAAGGTATATTCCCTCCATCTCCTTGCCAAAGTTTGGAAGGCGAGCTGCAACTTGATCCTGCAGCAGCTCGGAGGCACTGCGGGCCTCTGGACCGAGCAGTCACCGGATCAATGAAGCGGATTAAATCAGACGGTGAGCCTCAGAGGTCCCTAAACCTTTAAACTCCTACACCTTAAACCCTGTCATAAGAGCAAAAAAGCAAAATCCCTAGAACCACCAAGACCCAAAACTAGAACCGCAAAACCTCAGATACATGCCAAACTCTGCAACCCTACACCCGGAAGCCTCACCCGCGAAAAACCCTACTCCGCCTCAGGGGCTACCTGAGAGTGGATCTGGATCATGAGGTTCTTGCTCGTGTGCTGTAGCCTTTCTTCTCCAATAAACCAGCCCAGCATCGTTCATTTGTTCTAAACTAGACCCAAATAGATTAGGCCAAGAAAATGCAAAAGTATACAAGGCCAAATTGTTTCCCAACTATGTAAGGCCAAGAAGTTTAAAGTTCTCCCATCGGCTATCTAAGCAGCTTCGCAGGGGCGCCAGCGCTGGGGAAGTCGGTGCTTGTCGCAGCCGCTTCAACCAAGGATTGACCCTCTTCCAGGACCTTCCTGGCAGGGTTCAGGGTTTAGGGTTTATAATATTTAGGGAATTTAGGGTTGAGGGTTTAGGGTTAGATTTAGGGTTTAGGGTTCAAAACATTTATAAAGGGTTGAGGGTTTAGGCCGTCAGGGTAGAGGCTTCAGGTAACTTCCTGGCAGAGAGAGCTTACAAGAGCTCTATAAAGGCTTGGAGTTGTAGGTTTGAAGGTCTCGGTTTGGGTAGGGGTTCGGGGTTTATGTTTTGGAGCTAAGGGTGAAAAGTTTCTAGGGCTTGGGCTTGGGCCTGGGCCTTCCAACATCCAGTTAAACCCGACCATGGGTGCGTGACAGGCTACAGGAAATATGGGTGCAGTAATGATTCGCATATGGTTTTGCGTATATCATACCTGAGGGTTTTGAGGGATAGGTTTGAGGGGCCATGCAGGGGGTGTAGAATATCGGGGCAACAGGGTCTATGCTAAAAGGACGGCAACATCCCTGCTTATGCGAGTTCTTGCCTCACCACTGCCGAGGCGACTTTTGCGAAGATCAAGATGAACCTTAGGCACCGAGTACTGTAGCCCCTTTCGTTGGTTTGTACTTATGATACACGCACAAAAACTGGTAAAACGCTACCTACTTGGGGGTTTCCGAAAATAGGGGACCCTAATATAGTACCCCAAATAATAGGATCCTTATTATAAGGACCCCCAAATAAGGTACCCCCTATTTTCGGAAACCCCCACTTAGTCGCGAAGGAACTCTGTGAGCACGTCGCTGATGCGGCTCAGGAAGTTTAGCGGCGGCACGTTCTCGATGATCTTGTTCCCGAAGCAGGTCAGGACCTGGGTCTTTTAGGGCTCAATAGGGTTTAGGGTTTAGGGTTTACGGTTTTCGGGAAATGTATAGCTCTGACCCTCCAGGTACCGACTATACAGGGCCATAGGGGCTCTAGTACCCTATATAGTAATTACTTGGGGGGCTAGGGTAATATAAATTTAGCGAGGAACCGTAAGGAAAAAAATTCAGGACACATTCCGGCCTCTACATTGTTTGACAAACTTGGCTAAGGCCCTACTCGAGAACCCTCACCCTTCAATCCCTAATCAATACTAGGTTGGCCCCTCGAAGCTTCTGAACACTAAACCCTAAACCCTAAACCGTAATTCGTAAATAAGGCCCTCTTTAGCCCAATAAGGGAACATATCAGATGTCCCAAAGGCCTACGTAGTATTTGACCCCGATAAACACGGAATCCGGCCCAGGGAATCTCAGGCTCCGAGGAAAGAGTTGGCTCGTCATAAGATTTAGAGCTACAGTGCTCGATTGCTTTGTTCTGGCATTTCGAAGCTGTGTGACCAGTGTGATCCTTCCTACATCATTTGGGACCGCAATCTTGAACAATCTAATCGCTAAGCCCAACCCTAAACCCAAAACGCCCACCTGCAGGGGCGAGTCGATCGTCGCACAGCTAACGAGCTCCTGACCGAAAGAACGGTTTAGGTGCGAATTGTTGCTCTGGGGCAGGCAGCCCCACAGGGTGTCAGACAATGGACTTAAACGGGTCTCAAACCTCAAGTCGATGGATACAGTCTCCGAAGAGCCCAATACCCCTAATACCCCTCAAGCCAGGAATAAGTACTGCTTAATCTTTATTGGGCATCTCGTTTCGACGTAGAGAATGTTGCCCGGTTATGGGGTATTGAACACAAAGACACCTGCCCGGGCTCCTTGCCCATTGTGAAAAGTGCCTTGACAGCGGAAATGCCAAACTCGGCGACGGTTTTGATTGGCTCGGGCCAGCTTAGGTCGGTGACGCCAAAGTTGAAGTCGAAGAGGTTACCTTGAAGACAGGCCCAGAGGGTCCATATACACTACCATTATGGAATTAGGTCCCAAAAAACCATCCCTATTGTGGTTTTGGGGACCTAATTCTATAATAGTAGCATATATGGACCCTCTTGGAGGACTACCTGTAGTCTCCATTGTAGTTCCTGTTTGGGATACATTAAATAATCCTTAATATACAGTTGGATAAACCAACAAATGAACTACAATGGAGACTATAGGTATTGTGCATTGTTCGGCCGCCGAAAAAAACGAAACCAAGCTGTCCCATAACCGGCTATTCAATACCTTCATGTCCCAAAGCCCTAAACCCTAAACCCCTAAACCCCTAAACCCCTAAACCCTAAACACTAAACCCAGGTCCCTAAACCCTAAACCCCTAGACCCCTAAACCCGATGTTCAAAACTACCAAGGCACATGTCTGGCCCATGAGCCGGACCCAGCACTTCTGCCTCGCAATGTCTTGGCGGCTTCAGGTCTTACCTATCCCTAACCCCCCTGTTTCTACTATATAGGGTACTGGAGCCCCTAGGGCCCTATATAGTAGGTACCTGGGAGGCTAGGGTAGAGTCTCCATCTCCATTGTAGTTCCTTTTTTTTGGTTTAGCCAAATATATATTAAGGATTTTATCATGTATCCCAAACAAGGAACTACAATGGAGACTGCAGGTAAGGGGGCTTTGTCCTTAACAGGAGCTTTCTGATGTCCTGGTACCTGGTACAGTATATCTTGCTCTGAAAAACGGACAGCTTCTGTGTTCAGGGTGCAGCAGGGAAGTCTCCGGCAAACATAAACACAATATTTCATAGCCCACTGGCACGAATGGGAAGAGAGCTGTTCTATCTCGCAATGAAGGCATGGCAGCTCTTCTTTCTCTTGTTTTCTCTTGACGAAAAGGAGCACCGAACCCATTCTTCAGTTAGGAGCAAGGAAGCTCCTGTGTGACAGATAAACACATCAGAACAAATGAAGCAGCTCCCCACTCGTGCTCCCGAAACACATAGACCAGCTGACTTAGGCGCGTGCCTTGTGTCCAGAAAGAGGGAAGGTCCCTTTCCACATCGTTTCAATGTAGAGCTTGCAGTTTGCAACCTTTACATGAGCTATTTGAAATTACCTGCGAAGGGATCGGTAGCTTTCATGTTGCCCCTCAGACTTGCAGCAGCTGTAGTGTCTCATATTAAGATACAGACTTTGCTGCAGACTGTCTTCTCGGTCATTGCCGAGAGCTAGAGACATTGCGGCTAACAGATTTGAAATGCACAATGCGCGGATCTGGGGAAGGGGGTGACATACATACGTTTTTTATACCGATATACCTACATGAGCCTTCTCGAATGCTTATAACACCCGGATGAAGCCCCAAAACCCTAGAAGATTGAACTTCCAAACCCTCTATTAATTTCTGATCCAAAAACCATAGTTTCCAAACGTCCACACATAGTCCCACAGGTGTTTTCCAAAAACCCACATAAGCCCCAAACCCCTAAACCCAAAACCCCGAAACCCAGCGGGCCTGCCCCAGTTGACCCTAAACCCTAAACCCAAACCCCTAACATAAACCCCTAAACCCACCGGGCCTCCCCCAGTTGACATTGAGACCCCTCGCATCAATCCGCATGGAGGGCCAGCTGCTCTCGTCGCAGCCGGCGTTCCAATCCTGCATCTTTCTGTACCCTAACCCCCCAGATACCTACTATACAGGGTACTAGAGCCCCTAGCGCCCTGTATGGTAGGTACCTGGAGGGTTAGGGGTAGCTGAGAATTAGTTTGTTGTAGTTTGGGGTGGATTTGTGTCCGTGCTGTCGCGTTGATTGTTTCTTGCGGTTTACGGACGCTTTGCTTTGCCGCTCGGGGTTGTATTTGTGTATACTTTAGGGCTGTGTTTTGTAGATTCCGGCGGTTGTAGTAGATGGTTGCTTTTTGTAGTTTAGGGTTGTTTTGGCTTAAACAAGCAGGGGCGTAACAGCCTAAGCAAAGACTCAGAGCGGCAGGCATGATGAGGTTTTTGTTGCAGCTACTTGGAGGTTCATGGGTAGTTATAAGTGGGGTTATACGTCGTAGCTAGAGTTATAACCCATATTGGGGAATTTATAACCCTGCTTATAATTACCCATGTACCTCCAAGTAGGTGACGTGAACGTGATTTTCAACCCAATATCATCTTCGAACCCTTAAACCCAAAGCACCCGGCAGGCCTAGACCCTCAGTACATTGAACTCCCTTGCCCCAAAATGCGAAAAGGCCGCTTAAACGAACACAAGGGCACCAATAACACCTGGACGCCCCTAGCACAAAACACAACATGAAAGCCCAAGCCCCTAAACTAAACCCTAAACCCTAAACCGTAAACCCTAAACCCTAAACCCAAAGCCCTAAACCCTAGACTGCGAACTTAGGGATCGAAGCTTCCCGAGCTAATCTGAATCTGCAGTCAAGCATCCGTAAACCCGCGGACTAAGATGTCCACGGCCATCTCAACGGAATCAATCACTGTGTTCCTGCGCTCTGTTGGTCTTAGTACGTGTCTGCTTCTCTTCAGGGTTTAGGGTAGGGTTTAGGGCTGAGTGCTTCTGGAGTTTACGGTTCGTTGGGTCTGAGGGTTTTTGGCATCGGCAAGAGACGACGGCCGCAGTCGGTGGTCTGTCACGGTCTGCTTTCACACAGGGGGTCATAACCCTCAACTAACCCCAGAAACCTTAAAGCGTGTCGCTGGCCTTCTTGAGAGTGACTGAGTTAAGAAGTACGGTCGACCACAGGAGGCCAACAAAAGGATTTTCGAAAGAGCTTGGAAAGTGGACATAACAACTCTCATGCACAGAACTGTGCATTCAAGCACATGCATCGCGACCTGGTCTACGCTGAACCTAACCCTGAATTGAAACTCCGTCCTGAGTGATAAAGTGATGATCCTGAATCCTGAATGTCAAACCAAGTTTACAAATGCAACAGAGGTGCGCTACGAAGGACACCTGATCCGCAGCGGCTTCGTAGGCGTCACCTGGCTCATTGTTCATGCTTTTGCAGGGTGAGTGGTGGTAAGAGGAGTTTCGGGTCGTGGGTGTAAGGCATGTCGCATCCCATCAGCATTGAGTGTTCGGGGAGGATGCTCTTCGTAGACCTCACAGAGGTACTTGGAGGATCATGGGACTTAGAAAGTATGGTTATAAGTACCTTAATTGGGGTTCTAAGTAGCTATAAGTATAGTTACCCTAATAATAACCTCAGTTACTAAGTCTCGTGATCCTTTAAGTAGCAAGTACCCACCATCGCATCTCCGACAACATGGGCAGCGGCCTGTGCAATTTCTCGGCCCTCATGCAAAATTCTGCGCCTAGAGCATCGCCAACGGATCCTCCGACATCTTCGGCTACCTGGGCTTGGGTTTGGGGGCTTGGGCTTGGGGGTTGTAGAGAGTTTGTGGCTTGGCGGTTTAGGTTCGGGAGCTTGTAGGCTTCAGCATTGAGGTTTAAAAAAACTGTTTAGCCCTAACCCCCAGGTACCTACTACATAGGGTGCTAGAGCCCCTAGGGCCCTATATAGTAGGTACCTGAGGGTTAGGGTTAGGGTTTGGGTTTGGGATTTAGGTCTTGCGATTCGGACTTGGGGCAGCCAGGATCCTACCCCTCAAGGTCAAACTACCCACCACTTAGGCTCATGGGCGCAGGAGGGGTAGCGATGTAGGGGCCTTAATAAAATGAGGTTTATGGGGCATATTACACTGTACCTATAGTAAGGAGCCCCCCAAAATAGTATAGGTAATTAGTCAGGTCCCGATATTGCATGGCAGTACTTGTAGGTTGGTATTCAAAGAGAATCTATCGCCAGGACAGGGCCTACTAGGACTATTGGGTGTACGAAGTTCTTGGACCCATAACCCCTCTGTGCTACTTCGGACTCATCTTCAGGTCATCAAGGGTAAACGCTTAAACCCAAACCCTAAACCGAACCCCTGAATCCTGAACCCTTAACCCGAAACCCTAAACCCAAACCCTGAACCCAAACCCTAAACCCAAGGCCCTAGACTATGCAGGGTTTCTGCAACTGAGCAGTCTCTTGTAATTGTGCCGAGGATGCATCCACGATTGGGTCGGCCCATTTGGCGGTGACAGCATCGTCCAGGGAGTCATCACTAGAGTTCGCCTGTACTTGTGACACATAATCACAAAGCTCAAATTCAAAACGTTGCTTCTAGATCTCCTCCGGGCGTGCCTGTTTCTACTGGAATTGGTTTACTCGCTTACTAAGTCCTCTGAACTTGTGGGGCTGCGGGATTCGAAAACACCTGCCTTCTGCTTCCTGTGCTTGTGGCGCTGGACGAGCGCTTCCCCCACGTCTCCGGCATTTCCTGCTGGACTCACCTAAAACCCAAAGGGTCCAAGTGCTAGTATAGTACACACTTCTGGGGCCCAAATACCTACTAAGTACCTACTATGATGGTACTTGGACCCTTTGGGAAATGCCTAAAACCCAGGCCCGAAACGCAAACCCTACACCGCAAACCCTACATCTTGTCTAGGTTTTGAGGCTGACCAAGCTCCCAATAAATGTGCCTTTGGGGGACCTTGTGGCCTTGCGGTCCTTCTAATTCTAAGTGGGCATGACGCTGAAATGGGAGCCTTTCAGTAGGGATTTGGTGGGTTGGGGGCTTTGGCGTTTCTGGGTGACCCTAAACCCTAAACCGAGAACCCTAGATAGATGGATAGATCGATGGATAAATAGATCGATCGCTGCTCACCCACATGTTCTTCGAGTCTCTCCTGTCTTGCTGACCGGAGCCGATGGGCTTGCAGCCGCGGCGGGCGCTGCGGCTTTGGAGGCCGGCGTCACAAACTCGCGCTTCTCTCGCCTAGGCATCTGAGTAGCCCCTTTTACAAAAAGGCTACCCCTTTTTTCCTACTGTTCAGTTTCAACAAGGGGACCCACGAAATAGAAAGGGCAAAAGGCTACTACTCAGGAACCTAGTCGCTGATGGTTGTGCTTGTGCAAGACTTTCTTTAAAACCTCCTGTGCCTGCCGAGCCTTCGATTCCTCCTTCGCTTTCATCTCCTGGGTTCCCGAGTAAGCCCTTCATAATGAGGGTGCCCTTTGTTTTCCGAATATTCCGTTCTAATAAAGGAGACCCCACAAAAGAATGGAACAAGGGCACTTTTTTGGGACCTGGAAACCTTATAGAACCTAAAACCCTAAACCTCTAAACCTCTAGACCCTATAAACCCCAAAAGGCTGCTACTGGGGAACCTAGTCTCAACAGTGCTTGCCATGGTCTCATTCTTTTTCACACAGCTGCAGCCCCTCAACTCGTTGATCTCCACCTGTTGCATTTAGAGTTCAGGGTTTAGGGGGTTAGGGTTTAGGGTTTAGGGTTTAGGCTTAAGGGGTGCAGGACATGCCACAAAAGAATCTATTTAAAGCAACCACCGACTTCTCCTGCCTGCTGAAGTTCCACAATCGTTTCGAGCTGTGCCAGCTTGAGCATCCTGCATGAAAGGAAGCGCCGGGCTGCTGGGTCAACCAGCTCACGGTTTAGGGTTTAGGGTTTAGGGTTAGGGTCTAGGATACGACAAGCAAGGGGTTTACCCTAACCCTCCAGGTACCTACTATATAGGGCCCTAGGGGCTCTAGTACTCTCTATAGTAGGTACCTGGGGGGTTAGGGTTTAGGGTTTAGGGATTTAAGGAAGAAGCTGAGAGCCTGGCATGAACTCTAAGTTGGCACCCAGCTGTCCAAGGCCGTGTCGCCCTTGTGTGTCGTTGGTGACATTGTCCAGATCAGGAAAGGACTTGGCCTCCCCGAGGTCATGCTCCAGATTGTCCATGATGATGTTCTCCAAGCTGCTGTTCCTGCTCAGGTTCGCACCCTCGGTCATGTCCATTGGGATGTCGATCACCTCCGTTGCGCCCAAAACACTACAAGCCCTTATATCTCAACTCTACATAAGCCCCCTGAACATCTAGCAGTCTTGCAGGTAGCCTTAAAGGTGCCCCTCAACTTAAGCGCACCTAAACCCTAAACCCTAAACCCTTAAAAGCACCCTTAAAGGCACCTAAACCCTGAACCCTAAACCAATAAAGGAGCCCTCACGGATCCCGCCGACCTCCGTCGCGCTGCGGGCAGTCTCAGCCTTCACGGCCAGCAGGGTCTTAGCCAAAGCGGGGGTGCCATCGTTGACTGGACAGGATCCAGAGTCCGAGCAGCTTCCTGTCCTTATACTTCCCCCAAAAAACAACGCAAGCCGAATTTTCAGAATATTGCGACAACCCCATAAGTACCCAACCCTATAAACAAAAAATGCACAGTATGTACCCCAAATGGGTGTCCAACCCTAAGCCCAGTACTCACAAGCACCCTACGGCAGTCTAAAGTTTACAAGTGATTGCAGAACTAACCCTCTATATACTTTGGCCTTAGAGTAATCTCTATATAAGTACTTTGGGGCCAAAGTCTATACCATTTGGGTTCATGCACTTTCATATACCCTTAAGTATCCCTAAACCCTTAGGGTACCCCTTATAGAACCCTCAAAGGAACGCCTGTTTTGGGCAAGTGTCTCTGCCTGGCCCAGGAGAGCCTGGCCGAAAAGTCCCAGGCATAGCATCAACCTTGGTCGTCTCTGCGCAGACCCAGAGGGTCCATATGGGAGCTTCCCATAATAATGAGGGTAATTACCTTTATTTTGGGGTCCTTATAATAAGGATCCTACTATTTAGGGTACTATATTAGGGTCCCCCAATTTTTTTTTAACCCCCATACACACTACCATTAGGGATTCAGGTCCCAAAAGACCATCCCTATTATGGTTCTGGGGACCTAATTCCATGATAGTAGTATATATGGACCCTCTTGGAAATAATGCCTACCTTGAGGTTTAGTTGTCATACCCTAACCCTCCAGGTACCTACTATCTAGGGCCCTATAGGGGCTCTAGTGCCCTATGTAGGGTTAGGGATAAGTAATGCCTATTCTGCGCATCTTGGCACCTGCATTTACAAACAAATCTCCCAGCAACATGGAAAGGCCCTTTGGCCACGCGGTTGTGGGACACTCCGCGGTCATTGCGTCAGCGGAGAGGCGTTATGGTCGGAACAGAGCCCGAGCTCTTGAAAACGTGCAATCTTGAGCCGAGACTGAGGGGGCAGCCACAGACTGTCCAGGACCCCGGGACCCCCCGCCCCTCTCAGAAGTGCCTAGCAGGGATCTTATGGTCTCTCATTGTAGTGCGTACTGGGCTCTCATCAAGAACAGCTTCGGGGGCCCGAACGAAAAAGCTTGCAGCTTCCGACGTGAGGCTCCCAGATGGCGAAGCTCCATGGCATGTGCTCTACTTTTCAGAGTTCGGCGTTTATCGATATCTGATAGTCTCTAGGGGCGTGAGCTTTCAAGAGGGCTCCACTGGCGTAGGCGTTCGAAGGATGTAATAATAAGGGTGCCCTTTTTCCTACTATTTGGTTCAATAACGAGACCCCAAACCAAGAAGGGCAAAAGGGTACTACTGTGGAACCTAGGTGATGTACTGGGTTGAAACATCCTTCGAGCTCAAGGCAGTGCTTGGGATTCCAGAATGGTGATTCGAAGGAAAGTTCAGTATACAAAACTATACCCTAAGGGTCCATGTACCAAAATAGTAGATACTTTGGCCTTAAAGTAGTCCCTATTTGGACACTTTGGGGCCAAAGTACCTACTATTTGGGTACATGGACCCTTAGGGATACCTAGGCTTTGTGTGGTGCAGTGGCAACTTCACACATGCTCTTAAATACACTGCAGAGTAGGTCTCACAACCATCGTTCTCGGCATATCTGCCTTTGATAACAGTCTCGGCTAGAGGGTTTAGTGCTCGAGTTCTGGGTTGTAGAGATGATCTTTCGAGTTTTGGATTTAGGCCCTAAAGGGTTAAGGGTTTAGGAGAGGGTCTCTGTGGCGGCCGTAGACAGCGGCCGCCTACACACTGTACCGAGTCCAGAGGATCAGGACGAAAGCGACTGAGTTGTAGCCTTGACCGACATCACTGATTCCCCGAAACGCCCAACTACCCAATGATTCGGTACGTGGGCTTCAGATAATAGCACTAGCACGCATGTAGGTTAGTATTTACAGGAGGCGGCACGCCCTTGGACCCTGCGGTGTCGCACTGCCAACACTGAGAGCCCAGCGCATGCGCGATACTGGACGACGTCCTTGCAGAAGGGCAAACCCTAAACCCCAAATCCTCAACCCTAAACCCTAAAGCCCAAACCCTCAACCCTAAACCCGACGACGTCCTTGCAGAAGGTCAGCTGGCTCTGGATATTTGCGACCTGCCCCGGACGGAGCAGGTGGAGCTCAAGAGCCCTAAACTCCAAAAGCTTAAACCCCAAGCCCTACAAAGTTTAAACCCTCCTAAACCCTGAACCCTAAACTTTAAACCCTAAACTCCCTTAAACCATAAACCCCAAGCCCCAGAAAGTTAAAACCCTCCCAAACCCGGAACCCTAAAGCTGAAACCCTAAACTCCCTTACCAAGAGTCCGGGCCTGATTGTGGGGCTGAGCGCATAAGTTTAAGCTAGGGTTTAGGGTTTAGGGTTTTGGACTCGCGAGGGAAGGAGTTCATATGCGAAGGAGCCATTGTATTGGCACTTTTGGGGAAACGCCCGCAGGATTTCAGCTGGTTTTACCCTAACCCCCCCAGGTACCTACTATATAGGGCCCTAGCGGCTCTAGTACCTTATATAGTAGGTACCTGGGGGGGCTAGGGTTACATGATCATGGACACAATGCTGTCGAGGCGAGTCCTTCCCCTGGTTGCCTGCCGCCCAGCACTAATCATGCTTCAGGCTTGCAGCATGCGGTGGTTCAGAGTTAGACTGGCCATGCAAGATAGTCTCGTTTCGAAAGCTCGTATGACTGCTAGCCTTCAGAGACGTCATGCGAAAACTAGACATCTGATGTATAGCGAAAGATAAATTGCACTAGCCAGCTGCGCCAGTTCCATGACATATAAATCTGCCGTGTTCCTCCAAACTCTGCGCTTGCCTCATCAACGCAAACTCCGTTCATGCGGTCGGAGCCAGCAGGGAGCTCGCAAGCGGCACCTGCCAAGAATTGCTACACTGCTTGGTGCCCGGGTACCCAGACCATGCATAATCCCTTAATAAAGGAAAGTACCTGAATTCACTCATATTAGGGATCCTCCTATGCTTCATGTATATGCCTTAATTAAGGAATGTTGGAAGATCTGAATGGAAGCTGCATGCTATCTCGTGCAGTTTCGAGCTATGCGTCGGGGTATTACTTTGCGCTTCCTCAGGGTGCGGGCTTCTTGAAACTATAGGTACACGAAGGCCTCCATGAAGATCTTTCATGTTAGTGTCCACGGGCCCCTGATCTCGCGAAACTCCGGAATCGTCAATTCATGCAGTAGCTCCAGAACTAATGACCCTGCCATGAACCCTTTGAAGACGCTTGGAGCCATGGGTAGAAATCCAAAAACAGCTCCTGTTTTCGCTGTTTTCGTGACCCTAAACCCTCAAAGCCTGAACCCGAAACAGGCCTGTGAGATGCCGGGACCTCAAGCAAGTCACCAAGAACAGGCAAGACTGGTCATTACGGTTCAGGCTTGTGGGCGTAGGGTTTGCCAGGACCCCCCCAAGTGACGCTCAATGGAGCCCTGGATGGTCCTCAGTAGCGGAAATTTAGGGTTTAATCAAGGGTGGTTGGGGTCTAGCATGACTTGGCCGGTACGGACCCCATAGCGGTACACAAGTTGGCGGTTGTCGAAGATATGAAGCTTACCAGAGAACAACGGGTCGACACGTAATCCCTATGATCCTAAAACCCACGAACCCTTTCCTCTCAATGCCCGCAGACTATAGATACGAAGACAGGCAGATAGAGAGATGTAGATAGACAGATAGGTAGGTAGATAGATAGATAGATATAATAGATAGACAGACGGACAGACAGATAGGGAGAGGGAGAGAGAGAGAAAGATATAGATAGATAGACAGATAGATACGTAGATCGATAAATACATAGACTGATAGATCGATAGATAGATGGATAGATAGATAGACAGATAGGTAGATAGATCAGTTAGATAGACTAAAGGGTTGCCAGTATGCCGCAAACCTAAAGCCTCACAGAAGGGTGAGCTCTTTCCAAGTCGGCTTTGAAGGTTTAGGGTTTACGGTTTGGGGGTTTAGGGTTTAAGTTTAGGGTTTACGGTTTAGGGGTTGAGGGTTTAGGGTTTAGGGTTTACAGTTTAAGGGGTCTGGATTGGGTACTGTCCTTATAAAGTAACAGCTATAGCAAGGGTACTGTCAAGGACCTTACCTAACTATCCTACAAATAATGATAAAACTAACTTACAAATAATGTTCAACTGTTATATGCAACTTGCAGCCCTAGGGGTCTAAGTACCTTGTATTCATAATATAATTTCGCAAATAACATGCGCACATCAGCAGCATGACTGCCTCTAGCCGACACTAGCCGCAGTCAACCATGTCCGCTTCATACTGAGTTGGGACCCTCTGGGATTAAGAGGTGGAAATTCGTCAATCGAATCCAGTGGCAAATCGAGGGGAGTTCCGCCTTGTTTGAGCACGCTGGATGAGCCCAGGTTCACGGACAGGATGCTGCCCAGTGAAGCCCATGTCCTTTCGCGGATTCCGATCTTGTCGCAACCACTACTGATCTTATCAGGTGGTTTGCCTTCATGATCGAAACTGCGTGAACCAGAGTCGGGATAATAGCCACGAAGCACAATGTGCACTTCATCTTCCGCCTCGTGCCAGGGCTCGACCCAGAACCCATGCTTTGTGAGAAGACCCCAGCATTCGGCTCGAGTCTCCGCTATCCAGTCTGCTGTAGCTCGGATCTTCCAAGTCGTATGGTGACGTTCTTTCTCCTTGTGCAACTTCGCGGGCATGTCTAGGACTGGTCTCTCCAGTGCACAAAGCTCAGGAATTATGGCCCTGGCTTCTTCCTCAGACGTCTCCTCGTCCTTGGGGAAGGTCAGTAGACATATTCCGAGGAAGTCTGGCCAGGTGTCGATGAGTCCACTGCGGTTACCAATACGATCGCGAAGGCGAGGCTCGCCACTCTACTTCTCCTTGACACGATCAGAATTGAAATCCACACCAAAGACATCTACAAGCCGAGCCAGCCCATGCTCAAAAGCTAGCTGCATGTCAATGGAGTACTTCATGGCTGGTTCCTACTGAAGGGGCTACTTCGTCCTTGCCACCGACTCGCCGCTGCTTGAACCTCCCTGAAAGGATGCAGACATGAGGGTCTCCGAACCGTCCTTCCGAAGCTACCCAACAAGTAGTGCACTTATGTAAAGGGATAGTTCTCTAAAAAATTGGGTCCCTTTTGAGGTCCCCAATATAGTACGGCACCTTTATGAAAAGGACCCTCGGAGAGCTGCCCATATAGCCCTTGTAGCCTCCTTCTTCTGAAACCCTTATGTGTCCTTCCACCCTGAAACCCCATAGTTTCTGCTGCCCAAGCTAGGTCCCAGGCCATGTGAGCGGCTCCAGGTAGGACAGGTCCTGCGGAATTCGGAGTTGGGTCTGAATGCTTGGAGGATCATGGGACTTCCTAAGTATGGTTATAAGTACCTGAACTGGGGTTGTAAGTAGTTATAAGTATAATTACCCTAATAATAACCTTAGTTACTAAGTCCCATGATCCTTAAGGCACCCTAAACCCTAAACCCTAGACCCTAAACCCTGCCTTAGTTACTAAGTCCCATGATCCTTTAAGTGTGGGGCTCTGGGTCTCTCGGAAGTCGGGGCTTCGGGATTGTTCAGGGTTGAGGGTTTAGGGGTCAGGGTTTAGGCTTTAGG